GCCCGGACCCGGGAGCCGTCCTGCCGCCCCCTGGGACGGGGGACGGGTGGGGGCGAAGGCAGCGGCCGGTCCCGGCCGGCGGGGGCTCCTTCCCCCGGGCCGGGAAGGGACTGCAGTCCCAGGCGGGCCGGGCGCCGCCATGCAGGGCACCCCCCCGGGGGGATAAGGCTGCGCAAACACGAGGTGGGAAAGGCGGCGGAGGCAGCGGCTCTGCACACCCCCATCCCCTCCTCACCCCCCCCTTCCCGCGTTTGCTCAGCCCCGGGACAAACGGGCAGGGGAAAATGGACGGGCGTGTAAAGTTTTATTGCTGGCAGAGCCGGCAGAGGCGTTTGATCCTCTTTTCGCTTCGCAGCCGGGACGCCGGGCGCTGGGAATCCGCGGGTGCAAATCTGACCACGTCAGCAGCCGCCCCGCGCTGCCCCAACGCGTTTGCAAAGGAAAGCAGCTCCGGGGGGGATGGGGTTATTAGACCACTTTTTTCGCGTTGGGTTTTCACACTCGCCCCCTCCGCCGCCATGCGGCTCACGCTCCCATTTGGTTCCTCCCTTCCTCCTCCTCCTCCTCCTCCTCTTCCCCCCCCCCCCAAGATCCCCAAAATAGCACGGTTTTTTTTATATTTCCCTAATTCAGCCATGGCTTTTTTAACCTCCTTAAAAATGATGCTCCCCCCCCCCCCCGGGGGTGCGGGGGGCAGGCAGCAGGCGGGACGCGCCGGGAGCAGCCCCCGCCAGCCCGGTGCTCCCCCCCTGTCCGCCACGGAGGAAGCAGCCGGGGCTGCGAAGTTAGGGCTGAGTTTGGCAACAGCCATCGAGAAAAAAAAAAAACACCACCCCACAACCGCCCGGGAAAGAGGCGGGCTGGGGGGGTGGAAGCCCCAACCTCGTTCCTTCCCCCACCCCGGCACTTCCCTTGGGCAGGTCTCCCGCTCGCCGGGCGCTTTTGGAAGCGGCGGAGCCGGCCCCGCTTCCAGCCCGTCCCTCCCCCGGCTGCAGACCCGCCCGCCGGGGCGGGACGGGACGGGGCGGCGTGCGGGGCTCTGCCACCCCCTAGTGCCCGCACCGGCCGCCTTCCCGGGGTGTGCGGAACAACGCCTCAATTCCTCCCCTCTCCCCCTCCTCCAGCCCCGCCGAAGGGTCTCGGAGGCTCCTGACCCGGCGACAGGGCGCTGCCCCCGGGGGACGCGGGACCGAGGCGGGTTGGTGCGGTAAAACCCGCATCATTTCCCATCCCCGGGCAACACCTCCCCCCGCCTCCTCCCCGGCCCGCTGGGATTCCCGCGTGTAGTGACCCGAGACCGCACTCCTCCTCCTCCCAAACATGTCTGTGATGAAAACATCACCTTCAGAGCGGGCCCTGCCCGCTGGTGACCCGAGTTAAACGGTGGTTGATGACGATGATGATGATAATCGTGCAGGCAGCCATGTGTCAGCGTCATTCGGCGGGATATTTTGATAAATCGACTTTGATCCAGCCCACGGCAGATAAGGACTCCGGTGTTAAGGTTCTGCCAGCCCTCCCCTGCAATTGCTGCTTAGGGTTTAAAGGTTCTCCGTAGGGTAGTTACACAGTAACCGCAGTCACCCGCAGAGTGCTGTGAAATGGATGTGCGCCCGTGCAATTTTTTTTTTATTATTTATTTTATTTGCTCTCTATAAACTAAAAGGCGGGGTGACAGAGGCTTCAGTTGCATTCTAAAACTGTGATAAGGAAGACTGAGTTTTCCAGCTATTGGGTTTACTGATTAACCAGCTCCTCAAGGCTTCGCAAAGTTACTTTGGTTTTATGAACACTGTGGATCTCCTACTACACTGCGGCACCTATCCATTTGTTGGTCATGTTTAAGCATACACATTTTCAATTTAAATAAAAAAACTGCCAGTGTTACTAGAGAGCTGTATGCTAACCCTGGACACGAGCAAGGTCACACAGCCAGTGCTGCAATTTCAATACTATACAAAGTTCTGTTTGTTTTCTACTAAAAAGCTGTTGCTACACTAGTTCAGAAATGTTGGCAAGGTGTGGTAAAACCGGCAGCTGTTAATTAATTGTACATTGACTATTTTTAAGGGTGGCTCGCAGACATAATCTGGGCTGTTCTTTCCCCAGGAGCTCAGAACAGATGCGAACAAATTAATTTTTAGCCCCAACTCAGAGTGTGGCTTGTTAGGTTGGGTAACGTCCCTTCTTGTGAGACATCTTTGCATCTCACGTTCTAACGCTTCCCTTTTGCCTATTAAAGTTTCACATTTCCTTGTAAATTACTTAAGTAACCCCGAATCCTGGAGACTTACAGAAAATATTTAAACTTTTGTTCCTAAATTATGGCTTTGGCTTGGTTGGTTTTGTTTTGTTGGGGTTTTTTTAGCAGCAACTTCCTCTTGTGCAGCTTTCCCATGTTCACCAGACCCACTGTGGAAGCTTACCCTGCTTTACAGCAAGATTCTTATTTAAACTCAAGAAGCGGGAAGCGATTGCCTGTCAGCCCCCCACATAGTGCAAGGGGCCCAGGCCTGCATGTTGCCCTGGCCAGGTTAAGCCAGACCCTGGCACTGCTAGGCCTGACCCCGGCAGGGCTAGGCCAGACCCTGGCAAGCTTAAGCCGGTCCCTGGCAGGCCTAGGCCCGAGTCTGGCAGGGCTAGGCCAGACCCTAGCACGTTTAAACCAGTCCCCGGGCCGGGCTAGGCCAGTCCCCGGCACGTTTAAGCCAGTCCCCGGGCAGGGTTAGGCCAGTCCCCGGGCAGGGCTAGGCCGGACCCCGGCAAGACTAGGCCCGAGCTCGGCTCTGAGGGGGCGCGCGGGGCCGGGCCTAGGGCGGTGCAGCAGCGCCACCTGCTGGGCCCGCGCCGCAACAGGCCGAGCGCCCGTCGGGGGCCCCGGCCGTGGGAGAGCGGCTAATTAGCTGTACCGTCATCCAGATTTACGGCCCAACTGCGCTAATATACAATTACGTGTAGAGGCTGAAAGCAAACAGTCGTTTATCGGGCACGTTACCCTCCCGAGGCGGCTGGAATAACAACGTGCACCGACGCAGGTCCTTATTTTCACTGTGCCCAGCTACGCCCGTCACAGCCCAAAGGACGGTAACGTTGCCTTTTAAAGTATTTATTTTTGCTATCTCAAGTTCCCAGAAAAATAAACCTGCAAAGTACAACAAACCTTTTTGTGTTTCAGAGGGGGAGGCTGTTGGGCACTCAGTGTGTCCTCCTTCCAGCACCACCTCATCCGAGGGATGGTGACATCTCCATCCTGAGAGCCATCGCTGCCACACCAGATCCACCATCTCCCTCCCAAGGAGAGCCAGCACTGCCACACCAGATCCAGCATCTCTCTCCCAAGGAGAGCCAGCACTGCAGCACCAAGATCCAGCATCTCCCAAGGAGAGCCAGCACTACGGCACCAAGATCCAGCATCTCCCAAGGAGAACCAGTGCTGCAACACCAAGATCGCTCCGGGTACATGTCAGGGGACCTCGATCCACGGAGGAGGGCCTTGCTTTCCAGGGCTGCTTGCAGAGCAAGGTGGTGTTGAAGTAAAGATGAAACTGTTTTGTTTAAAATGGAACCGCTGCCCTGTTTTGAACGTAGCAGTCTTCCTTTTAGAGCAATTTT